GCAATTTGGAGGACTTGGCACCAGAGATGTGGCTTGCTGCGAAGTTGCTTATCTACCTCCCAGGGCAGCGATCTAGTGTGTGTCCTGAAATTTCTGCCTAGGCATTCTAAACAAGGCAGTCTGGACTGCCAACTGACCTGGTACTGAGTTTTTGACCTCACGCTTGTTTTACAGGGGAAATTTAGACAGGCTTGAAAAGCAAAAAAATACATTTTCCCAGGCAGCACAGGACTGAGCAAAGAGCTTCTGCTGCTGTTTCAAGGAGAGTTTCAACACTGGCATATATGCTTTAATATTTCATGAGTTGTCATGAATGCAAACATCAGCCTTAATGAAATTATCTCCTGTTTTTTTAATAAGACATACTATTTATCTGAAATCACTCTTGTAATTAAACAATGGAATACATTTTTGGTATTAACAAAAATATAAATATTTACATTGTTTAAATGTGAATTTATGGTGGGATTATATGTGCTTACTTCTAGAAGTAAAACTCAGAAAATCTAATTCTTAGTCCTTTTACTTACATACAGTAGTAAGCTTAAGCATACAAGTGAAAGCTTATATAGGGTGTGATCTACATAAGGTTTGGCTCAGGTTTTCAAAATAGCTCAGCAGGCAACTGCCCTATTTCAGCATTATGGTGAAGTGACTAATTTTTCACAATTGTTTCCTGTAAGTTTCCTTTAAAATCATCTGACTCTTGTAGAGAAAATCCTCCCTACAGCAGTATTTCAGAAGTAGCGTGTGATTAAATATACTGCATTACAGTGTTTGCCCAAAACAAGAGTGTAAGAAGCATATTCTTTCTAACTGGCTGTGAAAAGTGATATTATTGATATGCAGTTGCCATTTGAATGCCATAGCAATTTCTTCAGTTAACAGATTCATTCTTATTTACCAGATAAAAGATCGGTCTTCTACAGAGACTTCTAATTTCTTTCACGTTTCTAATTAAATGAAGTTGAAGGTTGTACATAAAACTTTTTTGGGGGACAAATTCTTAAGAGTGGTAGTATGTAAATAGAAAAAGTGTAATTGCGCTATATATCAGGAACAAACTAACAGGAAGCAAAGCCTTAAACCTTAGCAAATACAAAAACTTCAGTGGAATTAACAGGATGTACCTGTATAGAAATACATACTGAAATTTTTTTCTATTTCTTTTATACAAGCTGTATCCCTTTTTAAGCAAATCATTAGGTATTTATGTTTAGCTCATTCCTTTGCTTCTTTAAGGAAGGAAGTACAAGCGTGTTTTATACATGTTTTAATAAAGTTACTAACACCGAGTGTCAGTGTGAACCACAACCTAGAAGGGGTTATGCAGCATGTATTTCTGAGAACCTGTTCAGAGTGTTAAATAACTTTCTGCATGTGCTTGGTGTCACTCTAAGATGAAGTTGGTGGACAGTAAACAATTTGGAGATTTGAACTCCTACTAGTCTGTTAAATGCTATGAGTTCTTATAGCAGTATATGTATAATCAGCCCTCAGATCCTAGGTTAAACCTGTGGGACAAATTTACACAATTTGTTTGAATCAACCTCCTGTCTTTGCTGCCCTGCTGTTGCAGACTGAAATGACTGGAAATCTTGGATGAATATACATTGAAAATAATTGTTTTCAGATGAATAGCATTTTGAAGACAAAGACTTGAGTTGTAGTATTCATGATGTGAACTTGTAATGCTTCATAATCGTTACGGTTTTGGATTAAAGAATTTATTATTTTTTAAAAATCATCTAAGACATATCAATGATTTGAAAACTCTGCTATCCCATAATTAGGATACTTTGCTCTTCGAGGAGTTGCGTTCTGAAGACAAACATCGGAAAATAATGACCAATTTTCTAGATTTAAACCTTGAGTCCTAAGTAGCCTGTTGTGAGATAGGGTAAACTAAAATGATACCAAATTACCATAATGTAAATAAAAAGTTTAAAAAAATAGTGGTCAGAGAATTTCCATGTTCTTCTATTTGCCACAGATTCATCTTACAGGTTTCCTGTCTCTATTTACACTTTAACATTTCATGTCGCTGTTTTCACTATTCATTTTGAAAAAGCATTGCTTTTTTAATTTTTTTAATTTTTTTTTAGTAAATGATGTTGACAGTAGTCAAAGAATCATAGAATGGTTAGGCTTGGAAAGAACCTTAAGATCATCTAGTTCCAATCCTTCTGCCATGGGCAAGAACACCTTCCACTAGGCCAGGTTGCTTCAAAGCCCCATCCAAGTTGGCCTTGAACACTGCCATGGATGGGGCATGAATGATGTAGTGATGAATGATGATCAGTCTGGACTGTTTGCCCGTGTCCTGGGTTCAGCAGTAGCAGTCATGTTTCTCCTTCGTGGTAGCTGGTGCAGTGCTGTGTTTTGACTTTCAGCCTGGGAACAGTGTTGGTGATACCGATGTTTTCAGTTGTTGCTAAGTGATGTTTACCATGACCAAGGACTTTGTGAGGCTCATGCTCTGCCAGGGAGGAGGGGAAGCCATGAGGAAGCAGAGACGGGGCACCTGACCCAGGCTAGCCAAAGAGGTATTCCATACCACAGCACGTCATGCCTGGGGTGGGGGGTAACTGGGAGTTACCTGGAAGGACATGGGCTTCCAGGTGGGTCTCGTTTCTTGGCCGGTGGTATTGTATTCTCTTCCCTTGTTATTTTCTCTTATCATTGTTGTCGTTGGTGGTAGCGGTGGTGATTTGTGTTGTACATTGGTTGCTGGACTGTTCTTGTCTCAACCCATAGGAGCTGCACTCTTTCGATCCTCCTCCCCGTTCCTCTGGGCGAGGGGAAGGGGAGAGCCTTGGGGGGGAAGGCCCTCAATTGCTCTCAGCCCGGCACCACTCACTGGGAGTGAGTGAACAAGCTGTCTGGCTAGGGTTTAAACCATGGCAGCCTGGGGGAGCAAGGAAGGTCAAATACTGGAATATTAACTCTGGTATACTAATTGTAGTTCCCTTTTCATTTCAGATATTTCCTGTATGGTCCCATATGAGTCTTAAGATCAGGACTTGTATGTCTCAGGCACTGCAATTCTGCCTCAACACTGCTAAAATTGTGTTTTCACATATATCCCTAGAGAGTGATAATTTAGTGCACAGATTTGAAGTACTCCTAGTATATAAAAACTCAAACCCTATTATTAACCACTTCTTTCTTCTCTAACCTTCCTCCACCCCCCCATAAGAAAGGGGTTCTTTCTTTAGTTTTGGAGGAGTTGTGCAGATACCCAGTTTCTGGAGTTTAAAACTTGGGAGTTTCTCTGTGTGAACTTACATACTGACATCCTGCTTGTGTGTCTGTGTCTGTGCTCTTGCACCTGTGGGTTCTTGATAGGTAGCATGGAGAGCCCATTTTGTGTGCTGGCTCTTCTTAACTTCCTTCTGATACACCTTATTTTCTCTGATTAGCTGTACTGGCTTCCCTTTCCACTTTAGAGCACAAAAAGTCACACACTATTTCACCTACATATTGCTCTTTTCCTCCTCCCACATAATTTACTTTTTATAACCATATTATAACCTCTGAGGTACTATGCAGAATTTATTTCTTATTCATTGTCACATGCTTCAGACAGTTTTTTCTTTGTATTTCTTCTTGCTTTCTAATGGAGATGATTCTGAAGATTATATGATGATACTGCTGAAGTTCATTCAAGACAAGTAATACTGTCTTTGTTACAAGACCAGCTTTTTGAGATTCTCCCTTACCAGCCTTACTTGAATAGGTAGTTTTTGAGGCTTGCAATACTACTGAAATGACAATGCCTTTCATAGTTTTTTATAAACTGACTTACAGTGGTGTCCTGCAAAAACCTCAGGAATTTCTATGTACATTCACTGAAGACTTTAAAGGCATTAGTTGTTCCTCTGATACCATTGTCAAAAGTAGAAGCCAACAGGAAGGAAGAAGAGAGTGTACAAGTTAGGGGACTGTAACTGTAAAAGTAGTAATTTAAAAAAAAATAAAATTGAGATAGTAAAATTTTCAAAAATAACCTGTATGTGTGGACAGTGAACTGTTGATGTTCTTTATATATTTAAGGTTCTAATTTGGGTGACTGTAGTATTTTTGGGCCAAATAATTGAAGAAATTTTGCTAGAATATGTATGTTAAATTTTGGTAAGCAGTTCAAGACATCTTTGCTTTTAATAGACATCAGCCTTTTAGAAAGCTAACCTTATGCTGGGCTGCATCAAAAGGAGTGTGACCAGCAGGTTGAAGGTCATGCTGCCCCTTTATTCTGCTCTTCTGAGATCGCGCTTGAAGTAGTGTGTGCAGTTCTGGTGACTTCAACATAAGAAGGACACGGGGCGCCTGGAGGGCAATAAGGAGGCTGGAGCACCTTCCGTGTGAAGACTGGCTGAGAAAGTTGGGGCTGTTCAGCCTGGAGAAGAGAGGGCTGCGTGGAGATCTTGTAGCCTTCCAGTATCTGAAGGGGGCCTACAAGGATGCATAGGACTTAAACAGAGGAGATTTCTATTAGAATCTAAGAAGAAAGTTTTGCTGTGAGGGTGGTGAGGAACTGACACAGGCTGCCCAAGGAAATTGTGGCTGCATCATCCCTGGCAGTGTTAAAGGCCAGGCTGGATGGGGCTTGAGCAACTTGGTCTACTGGAAGGTGTCCCTGCCTGTGGCAGGGAGATTGGAACTAGATGATCTTAAGGTCCTTTCTAACCTTAAGTGCTCTATGATTAGAGACTTAATGATTAAAACATTGGAAAATATTTCTGATGTATCACTTTATCAGTTTTTCATTGATTACTTTAGTGGGTGTTTTTTTCATTCCCCCTTCAGAAGCTGAAGGAGAGCCAACAACTTTAGAGGTGTTGAAAAGAGAAAGTGGTAGCTGAGCAAAGGGAACTTTTTTGAAATTTAAGTAAATTTTGGAGATGAGTGGGGGTTAGTAACTTGAAATATCTGGAAATATGTATTTGCTGTGAAAAATTTTAATAATTATTGTAATTTAATATTTCTGTGCATTGAAGGTATCCTGAATTAGCAGCTGTGTGCAGAAGTCCCAATACTCTAATTCTGTATCCTGGAGCTGAAGCAACCAATTTGGAAGAAATTGTTGTGCTGTCTTCTAGTCCATCTGTTATGATTATCATCGATGGAACATGGAGTCAGGCTAAAGATATATTTTACAAAAATTCTCTCTTCCGGCTTCCCAAGCAGGTGAGTTATAATGTATATAAGAAAAATTTTGTCTAACAGATGATTACTTTCTGGCAAGCCAGAAAGAAGTGGTTATGTGAGGATGAAAATAATGGAAATCTTTTTTGCCTTCTCAGCTCTAACCAGTTGACAAGAAAAACTTGAAGAATTAAATAAAACAGCCTATAGGACTGTGAGAAAAATGACTGCAAATATGGGGGGGCAAGGGGGATTCAGTTTGTCACTTGAAATTTGATTTTGTTTCTTTTGAGGTAATGCATCTAACTTTACAGTGAATCATTGATTTGCAAAATTGAAAACTGGTTTCTGTAGAAATGTTTTGCCTGTTGCCAAAGACATTAGAACATATGGGATCACATAAGCATTTCCTGTTCCCCTGCCTTTCCATATAAGTATTTTGCATTGCAGAGGTAGAAACACTGAAAGTAGAATTTTGTAGCCTCTTATGAAGGTGTCACATTCTTTCCCACATATTTGGTCTCCACTGTACTAAAAACTTTGTGACTTTTGGTAAGTTTTCCTTAGAACTGAAGCAAAACAATACTGGCCATGTGTGGCTTGGGGGTTTTGTTGGATTATTTGTCCTCCCTGCCTTACGAATATCAACACCTGAAGTAGTTGAGGTATGGCTGTACAATTGTTACAGCTATCCTTACTGTAGCAAAAGTACCCTAGATTGTAACACAATGTTGAAAGTATTAGTGCACATAGGTTCCTGTTGCTGCGTTGTCAATGGTATGACTACTTTTCAAGGAATTTTTTAGTGGATAATTGTATGGCTTTGGCTCAGGAGTCTTGAATAGAAGTTTTGATGGTAAAACTTAATCTTGTGTGACTCAGTTGCTGTTACTGAGTAAGATGTAATTAAATCAGACTCACTTATATCTATGTCCTTTAAACCCACAAGACATCATTTCGTTATGTACTGCAATGGTGTGTCTGAGTTAAATGCTCAAATTGCAGGTTTTCTGGGAAAGGCTGTTATTTTGCACACTGCAGTTTTCTCACACAATGATGTAGCTGCATTGTGCATCATTCATAACTTCTAAATCCAGAAGTTGTAAAATGTTACTGGTTGGGTTCTTTGAGTTTTTGAAAAGAAACATAACTTCTTGTTTTTCTATTTTTGTCATATGCTTGTCAGTCGAGCATGGAAAAACTGGTTGAACCATTACATTTCTTCTGTGGCTGGAAATTGTGTGATATACCATAACCTTGAATTTGTTTGGAATTCACATGCTGACTCAATTTTAGCACTGCTATTGCTTTAGATTTCCTTTTGTGTTGGTTCTTGCAATGAAATTCTTGATTTTGTTCCTGACCAGTTTCCGTATGGTCAGACTGGAGGGAAGCTGGGGTGTGGCATATAACACAGCTCCTGAAGGGGTGAAGGGCCTTGGGCATTCTGGAAAAAAAGATGTGCACCTCTATGAACAGTCAAATGCAGTGAAAACAGCTCTTGTGTAAGTTTCTGTCTTAGAAAAGTCTCCAGTCTTTGTTCTAGTTTATAACTAGTTTGCAGTTCCTCATTTATTGTGCTTTTTAAACTTCTGGGGACTGGAGGCTCTTGGTGTGGATTCACAACTCTGTAAGTGTTCTGGAATATTTGTTCCCATCAGTTAGCTTTATTTGACTGTTCAAAATCACAGAAAGGAGCAGTTTTGCTACAGATCAAAATGAGGCAGAAATTTGATGGAATCACTTCAGTTGCTGTAGATGACATGATGCTTGTGAGGTATTTCTACCCAAATATTGTTATAACAGTTTGTCTTAGAGGGAAGTTTTTCAAAATGTATGAAAAATACTGCCTGCTAGGTGGTATAAACAAGGATTTAATTTCTTGTTTGTTAAGTATTTCTGTAAGACCAACTGTAGTTTGTTGACAAAGCTGCCTTTTTCATTAAGGGGAATTATTGAGTCTGTTGTAGAAGGTGTATTAATATCAACAGTTTTACTAACAGAAAAAATTCTCTTCATCATTGGATCAACTTTTGGTCAGTGAAAAGGTGACTACCTCTTCATGAGGGGAGAGAAGGTGGCAATTTGAAAATGTAAAAACCAAAGCCTTATGACTATGATGTGAGAATAGTTTAAATGGAGTACTGTTAGTCAACATGTTTCTAATTCAAAAAAAGAGCTACTATAAGTCTTAGAAGTAGTTTGCTTTGGGGGATGCAATCTGCTTTATATCAAATCTGGGAGTTGTTTTTAGGCTTTTACTATAGTATAGCAATTAGGTTATATTGGTGTGAGTGAAACACAAGAGTAGATTCTGTTTTAGTCAAATTACTTTGGCCTTCAGAGGAAGATGGTGAAACAGATGGAATTTACATCAAGGAATTTATGGGATTCATTTCAGTGTATTTAAATTTAACTGCAACTTTATGAATAGATTTTATAGAATTTATTTCACTACAATCTATTTCAAATTCTGCAGAACATTTGTTACATGCTGAGGCACTGACCATAGATACATGACTTGCCTTTGTGAGTGAGAAAGTGTTTCCATTCATAATCTCTTTAGTGGAGCCCTATCAAATTTGCCAGCAGAAGTAAAAAAAACACAAATTCTGTAAAATGGTTATTCTGAATTGCAGTGTTAGAAAAAGCAGAAGAAAACACTTTTTTCCTAATTTATCCATTTGGAGGGAAGGGTAGATAAAGAAAACAAATTAGTTATCATCCTTGTCTGTTCCTTTTAAAACTATTTATCAAAGTATTCCTGTTCTTTTGTGGCTTTGGGTTTGGTGGTTTTGATTTCCATGTTTGTGTATGTGTGTGGTTTTGGTGGTTTGTTTTTTTTTTTCTCCCCCTCCCTGGGAGAAAGAGATTTATGTCTTCAAAGATAAGGTATAGTGGTTGCAGCTAAAACCCAGCCCACTATCCACAACAGCCATTTTCAATTAATTTGTACTGCGATTATTGTTCCTCTCTTGGCAATTAACTTGGGGAGTAGCTTAGGTGTTCTAGATAGCATTTTCCTGTCACTTTCCTTCTCTTGTGTGCTTACTGCCAACAGAACTTCCTCTCAGTGGGTTCATGTAAAGTAATCTCTGCAAAACCTATGTGCACAGAAGTGTATTGATTGTTTTCTAAGAGTGGAGTTTTTTTCCCAGTCATTTCAAAACTGACTTAAGTTATTTAATTCTATTGTGTCTGATTCAGCTTTGTTTGATGTTCATACTACCTTCCTCTGGAAAGCTGAAACCTGATAATTTTTTTTAGTTGTTTGGGTTTTTTTTTTTTGTTTATTTTCTGCTGACAAGTCTTCAATGGTGGATTTTGATTTTTGGAAGGTCAGTTATTTGAGTATATTCCAGGTGACTAGTGTTTTATGGCATTTAACTACTACCTGTGCCTGCCCACAGTCAGTGATTTTGGCAGATCAGATCAGTAGGAGCATTGTGATATGAGAGAGGACTGTGTGTAGATACATAAACCATTTTTGTTATCTGTCTCTTCTACTTAGCATCATCTTCAATTTCTGGGCTGTTACTCAGATTACTGTTATTTGCTAGTGCTATGTAGGACGTGTTTCTTATCCTGTATTATAAACTATAATTTTTTTCTCTAATCAGTTCTAAACATGTAAACTAAATACAGATTTTAATGACCTGTTGAAATAAAAATAAGTGAACCTGAAAGAAATTGACACTATTTCTTTTCTCTCTCTTTTTAAATGAAGAAACCCTTTACTGTGGTACTGCATTCTTTTCATTGACAAGTAGAAGAATGTAAAGAGAGATAGTTGATCCAGTTTTGTCAGATAGTTGAGAAGTTCTTTTCAGGTGAAAACTGCAGTGTTCCAAAGAGTAAAATGTTACATATTCATATGTAAATTCAGGGACATAACAAGAATCTGTATTTTACATAGAACTGAAATACTTCTTGTACCCTGTGAAGCATAACACTGAGTAAATAACATGCAGAAAATGAATAATACTTCAGGATAAGGTCCTCTCTTAACCTTCTGTATTACAAATAAATTAATTTGGTCACAGCAACATAATTAGAACATCACCTGATGTGCTTGTCAGACAAGAAACATATCTATGAAAAAATATACCCTGCTGACCTACTAGTCGTCGAATTCTGCCTCACTGATTTCTGATTGCAGCGTCTGAAAAGCCAGAATCTGGTCTATACATTATCATTATGAAAGAGCTTAATGTTAAAAACACATTCCTTAAAGTTCTTTTATTTTCAAAATCCAGATGGTTTCAACATTTGGGGTTGTTTTATTTCTTTTTTCTTTTTTCCTTGTCATAAGTATGTAATGTCATATTAGGCCTTTTGGGTTATGTTAGTGATTTAATCTTATGGCAAGAATCCTTGGGTAAAATTTTAGGATTCATAAAAAATAATTCTTCAGAGCAGGGGTCCATAGAGGCTCTGAAAAAAACCCTCTAATACTCAGCCTCACCATACATTTAAAAAATTACTGCGATCCTTTCAGACTTTTCCTTACATTTTATAATTAATTTCTTTAGTTCTCCATGTGGGACTGCTTCTTCATGCTGTTTTGTTTTTCATTCACATGGGACCCCCTGAAAGTCTGCTGAACTGGAATCATAGAATCATGGAATGACCCAGGTTGGAAGGGACCTTGAAAGACCATCTGGTGAAGTGATTTGTGGGAAAGGAAACCTAGATGAGATTATCTATCATTTTGCCCAGTCACATCTTGAAAACCTGAAGTGATGGGGACTTCACCACTTCTCTGGGGAAGTTGTTCCAGCAATTGATTGTATGCACTGTGAAAAACCTTATGTTGAGGTGAAACCCTTCCCAATGCAACTTGTACCTGTTGCCCCTTGTCCTCTCCATGTGATTCCTTGTGGAGAGCTTCTATCCTCTGTAGCTGCACTTTAAGTACTGAAATACTGTGATGAGGTCCCACTGAACATTCTCTTTTCCAGGGAGAAAAAATATGAAACATTGCAGTGCTGGGTGAAATAACAGTCAAATATTAAAGATGATATTTCACCTTGATATTGCAT